CGCGAGGAGAGGGCGCCGGCGTGGGCGACCGAGCCCCGGCTGCACGCGGCCTCTGGGCCGGCCGCGCGGCTGCTCAGGCCCGAGCTGCAGGTGTGTGTGTTCTGCCGGAACAACAAGGAGGCGGTGGCGCTCTACAGCACGCACATCCTCAAGGGCCCGGACGGCCGCGTGCTGTGCCCCGTGCTGCGCCGCTACACTTGTCCCCTGTGCGGCGCCAGCGGCGACAACGCGCACACCATCAAGTACTGCCCGCTCTCCAAAGTGCCGCTGCCCGCCGCGCGCCCGCCCCCTCGCGGCGCCCGGGACGGCCCGCCCGGCAAGAAGCTGCGCTGAAGGCCGAGTGGCCACCGCCCCCACCCGGCCGCGGTCCGCCCGGCCCAGTCCTAGCGCGGAGCGTCAGGATCCCCCGCGCGAAGCACCGGGATCCACAGCCCCAGCGAAGAGCATCAGCATCCCCAGCGCGGAGCACCGGGATCGGCACTTGCTAACCTTGCGCTGACATCCACGTGGTTTTCCAGAGGACTCCGCTGCGGACAAGCGAGGAGACTGGCTGCTGGAACCTCAGTGCGCCTTCGCGATTGCCAGTTCGCGCCCCAGCAGGACCAACATTAGCCGGGTGTGGCAACTTGGTGTTGTCACTGCCTGCGTAGCCAGTCTCAGCAGCGCAGCGGTGGGAACTGGTCTGATTTTGATGTTTTACTTTACCAATGGAGGCACTTTATTAGGTCTAGAATATTTTTTTAAAAAGCCTCGGAACTGAGCTTCAAACTGCCCATTTTCTGGGCTGTTGGCACACTGATTGATTTGAAGACGTGTTGTTTTAGTTGTCTTGAATCCGTTACTCCAAGCCCAGGGAGGTGAAGAGTTGGTAGACTTCGGTGTTAATGTGGGTGGGCGTCCATCCCTGTCTATTTCCGTCCTAACTAGAGGTGGATGTAAAAGGCCCCATCAGTAGCCGGTAGAACCAGCTCCCTCTCTTTTTCTGTACCAGATCTTTTATTACAGAAGTAGCAACTAGCCTTTCTTGACCTTAAAATTTGTGCCAAGTTATATTGTGTATACACTTGAAAATGGTGCTGTTTAAAGACTTTTGTGTATTTATACAGTGCAGTATATGAATTCATTAATCTTACCTAAAACTTTTCTACTTGGCCTTTTCTTACCATCCCCCATGTCAAGTGTTTGTGACCTTACCTAAAGGGAGAAAGGCAAGAACGTTTATTCCCCTTCGATTGCCAACTTTCAGGTTCTTCAACAGTGGGGAGAAATGCTGACCAGGTGAGACCTCTGGAATCAAGTAGGTGGAAGCTCTGGGCTCTGGGCCAATGGCTTAGTCACTGTGGGCTTAGTTTTAGGTCTGAATCGCCTCAAGCCAGAGCAGGTAATAACTGTCAAAGGAACTGTGGGGGCTGGAGACAAACATGGCTTCTCTCATGTTCCAACACTTGTAGAAAGACCCGTTTCTAGAATCCCACCCTGGTATCCACGCTCTCTTCTAATTTAAGTCCACAATGCCGAAAGGTACATTTATTTCCACTTATATCCACCTGGAGGAACCATGTTGTGAAAAACGAGCCCTTTCAAGTGTGCTCTTACTACCAAATCTACAATTTTAAGAAGTGCATGTTGATGGCCTACTGGTAAGGAGTTGCGCTATAAACCCAAAGGCCAGCAAGTTCAAATCCTCTAGGATGCTCTGATGAAGATGGATGGGTAATCTTCCCATGTGACTTACTGCATCTGAAAAGCTGGAAGGCCAGCAACCAGTATATGAAGGTGAGTGAGCTTTGGTAGCTTAAGTGAGAAAGGAGTTGTGCTACCAACCCAAAGACAAGAAGTTCAAATCCACCAGCTGCTCTCCAAGAGAAAGATGCGAAATCCTCTCTGTGCTGTTTACGGCCCTTGGAAATCAGCAAAGAACTCACCTGGCTGGTCTAATCCCGGGACTGACTGGACTGGGCCGCACCTTTTTAAGTTGCATGTTAACCTGTATTTACCAGCTTTCATTTGCCTTTTAAGGACCATTTTAGGCCAACATGAATTCCTATGACTCTCCCATCCCCCAGCCCTGTTTCCCAGGGTAACTGTCACATGTTGGGGGCATGCTCACTGGCCAGAGGACCAGAAGCAGCAGGCAAAGCCCGATTAGCTCTTTAAAAGGGCCAAGTTTCAGGTTTTTTGCAGGCCTCAGGGATGTCTAAAATGAAATTATTTAGTAAAGTCCTAAAGTCAGAACATGGGGAGAGGTTATCTAGAAGACCCTCAATCAATCAGAGGCAGTCATCTTTCATCTCATTTGAAAAGCAACCATTTCAACCCGTTCCCACCCGCATCTTGAATAAAATTGCCTCTGTTTTGCATTTAATATTGAAACACTGAGAGTTAAGAGTATGAACAGGGCTGTCCAGTAACAATTTCCCAAATCCCTTACAAAAGTACACTAATTTTATCTTTATAGACCCTTGAAAACCATCCTTGGAGCTAGCTCCTCACTTTATCTGATACAAACATAAGGACTTTCAAAATTACATTCCTTAGGGTAAAAGAAACACTTACTTCAAAGTTTGTTTGGTTTTTTTTTAAGTATGTATCAAACTGGTTGTGCTGTTACCTTGAGACCTGGGTGTATCAGCTAAGTAACAAAAAACATGCAGACTCCAATGCACTGCTGACTCCATGACTCTGGCACAGATGGCCTTGGTTGTAGAGACTTCATTCCAGAGGCACTGTGTGTTCATTTTCCTACCTTTTCCCTTTTCTAAGTTGTGTAATTAATACTACCTTTTATTGGACCTTTCAGAAATTCGGCATGCCAAATCATGTCTTTTAGAACTAATTCTGGAAGTTACAGAGCTCTCATGGCCTAGTGGGTCGAGATGAATTGCCAAACCAAAGACTGGAAGTTCAAATCCACCTGTGGAAGATGGTCAATTTCCTCCCATGTGATTACAGCCTCTGAAAACATACTACAGGGTCAGATACAACTCAGTGGTACACGACAACAACAACAACGTGTGCTTCAAGCCAAAAAGTTTGTGTTAGTCCTAATTTTCTAGTTTATTCTCATCTACAAGAGAGTCATGCTATAGAAGGCCCTGTTTTGATTAGACTTACAAAATGCCCAATCTGCAACCCTAAGATCTTCGTGTTTAAAAATAACCCCAAATCCACATAAAAACAGCCCACACGCAACAGATGGGCTGGAAGGTAGCTGGTCACCGTGCCACACCAAGAGCCACCTATCTGATCAACCGTCGTCTAAAACGCAAACACTACTGTAAACTCAGTATTACAGGATTCCCTTTGATACTAGAACATTGGTGGCGGAGGAGTTTGAGGGCCAGCCACCACAGTGAAAACATGAAAGCACAAGAAGTTAAGAACCCGAATAAACCCTGCTAGGGTCTAAAATGTCTTTCAGCAATCTGCACAGAAAAGGTAGGTTTGCAGATTAAGCCTGAAACTAACCACTAAACCCATGTGTGTGCCTCACTGGTTTAGAGTCACTGTCAGCGGCTGCCCATCTGTGCTATCACACACGGTTCTCCTGTGTAAGTCCCAGCGAGTTACTGCTCCAAGTCAATCGCTGGTCCAGCATCCTTTTACTCATGAAAAGGCTGTCTCCGCCACAGAAGACCTCTTAGGACTTCCATTTATTTAAAACAGGAGTCATTTAACAAATAGTTTTCAGCAGCAGTAACAACAAACAGTCCAACTGAATATTTTAAGAAGCACCAATAAGCCCTCTTCTGACCTACAGGAGTTCTCACCAAGGTTCAATCATGTACATGTCTACACAGCCAGTATAAATGTAGAACAAAGATTCTCTGAAAACAACTTTTTTTCCTATTACTGGAGAAAACCCAGATAGTAAATCCTACACAATATCTAGGATTACCTACTTTTAAAAAATACATGCACAAGATCCCTCAGTAACATCATAATTAACTTTGCTTTCTATAGACTTACTTGAATTCTGTGACACTTAACAATATCGGTACTCACCATTATAAAAAAAGTTTTACTATAACCACAAATCAAAACGAAAACAAATTCTGTAAGTATTTTATTTGTCACTGAAGAAAAAACACAGCAGCAAGTTCTGTGTTGGCTTCCATCAGACCAAATAGTTAATCTTTTGCATGACTACCACCCTCCAAAGTGAAGTCAACACAGTCATTACTACGAATTACTTCTTTAAAGAATCCATCCGGAAGGGAAAGAAAATCAGGAAAAAGAATTTAAACAATTCCTCCAAACCACACATTTATAAATATTGTCATATTTAAAATGCTTAAAAGGCATGAATTCTCCAGTAATGGAAAAGCAGTTCGCTATTGGCAACAGAAAAAAAAAAACTCAGTTTTACCAAATGCTTTAAAATTTAAAAGCTCTATCATTTTGGATTCACACTTCAGCAGTATTACTGTCATTACAGTAACTGCATATTGTTTTGTACTCACCTTCACTCAGGTAAAATCTACAGAAAACCCCACTGTATCCAATGTCTGTAATGCTTACTGCATTTAAAGTGAACCCAAAAAACTGTTTAAGTATACTTATTAATACCTCAAAATAACTAAAGAGGCATATTTCAACAGCTAACGGTATGTAAATTGTTCTGCTTCACCACTTGAGTCTTAAAATACATTTTCCATAACAGAACCTTACCTCATTCCAAATTAATTAGGTATTTCAAAACAAACAAAAAGAACAGGTCTATATCAAGATATAGGTGCTCCTCAATACCTGAAGGGTTCACATTTTCCATTTATTTTTTCATTTTTCTTTTTGTAAACAAATGATTGGTGAAAGAACGCAACACCTTAAATTTCAGAAAATGGCCTGGTTTCCCAACCTCCTGTGGATACGGTGCATGATCGTTCTATTATATAAGATTAATACAAGTTCATGCTTTTCTTGTTATGGTGAAACATTAGTTACAGAATCCAATTTAGACTGGTTGAAGCACAAGTATAATCCTTGCATGTGATCAAACCTAGGCGAGATGCCAGTCTGAACCCATCCCTTGGGACTTAACGTCGTACAGTCGTCCACCCGTCTTCATCAGTCTCGTTTTTAGTACGACGAAGAGAGTCCTTTTCTTTCTCAGCTTTCCATGGGGCTTTCTCTTTTTCACCTTCTCTTTCTCGATCTCTATCTCGATCCCGCTCTCTTTCTCGATCCCGCGCCAGGGCTGGGGGAGGAACACGCCGAGGGGTATCTCGTTCTTCTGCACGGTCCTCTTTCCTATCATCAGCACGACGCCAAGAACTTACTAGAAAATTACAAAAGGTAACAGACAAAAAGGTAGTTTGTATTATATTCTGGTACACGTACTATTCTACTTGCTCTTAAGTGGTAAGAAGGTGCACTGCAATCCCATGGCACAAGGTTCAAATCCACAAGCCACTCCACAGGAGAAGAATGGACAATATTCTTCTTGTGCCATGAAAACCCGATGGAGGGTCAGCTATGCGTCAACTCTGACTTGAAGGCACCCAGCAACAGCAACAAACAGAAAAGCAAAGAGAATGCCTCTAATTACTCAGAAACGCCATGGTAAAGATACTGTTAGGACCGACCACAGGGAAAAAAAAATTTCATGATTTTGACACAATATATGACAAATTTTTTTTAAAAAAACACACTTAGAACTCAGAATTTGTACGTAAGACATTAATAGACTGGGAAATGTCTTAATATTTTCAGATAAAAAGAACATTTACACTTTGTGTTTATCTCTCTACCAAATGAAGACCTCACTTTTAAAACAATTTATAAATGGTTTCATTCATAAATGTTCCTACTAGTTAACTCCAATGCCTGATTTGTCTACACTTGTTAGTTGCCAGAGTCCACTTCAACTCAGAGCAATCCCATGTACTTAAACTATAAATCTTCACGGAAACTGACGGCCATGTCCTTCTCCCCAGCAAACCTACATAGGCTAGTCTGAACCTCAACCTTTCAGTCAGCTGCCAAAAAGGCAATTCTTGCACCACTGCAATAACTTACAACAGTCTACTACTATACTTTAAATGGCAGTTTAACAACTGATTTTAAGGGACCCATGAACTGTTAAAATTGTTATGTGTGGTGTACACAGGATTTCCCAGATAATTAACAAGGCCAAAATCAGTGCTCTGCTCAGCACTGCACGCACCACCCCTACCTTCATCCCGCTCTGATCTGAGTGGAGGGCCTCTTCGGTCTCGGTCATCCCGCCGGTCCCTCAGATCCCGCCTGTCATCCCGCAGGTCCCGCCGGTCATCTCTGTCGCGACGGCGGTCATCTCTGTCCCAGTCGTCCCGGCGACTGGAATCTCTCCAGCTCGAAGCTTCCTCAGCTGGGCCTCTTCTCCAGGCACCCTCATCCCTGTGATCATTTCAAATCACAAGCTATGTCCTGTGCTTACATTACATGGAAAATTACTAGGGAATATAATATAACTAAGCTGGTGCTCTAAGAATTTATAAATGTCACAGGGCAATGATTAAACCCCTAACTAAAGCTGAATCTGATACCTAATCAAATGTGATCAGAATCCATGCTATACAACATGGGAGCAGCTGAATACTGGCTACCAAACTGGACTCCACACAGAATATTTTCATTCTAACAGAAAATTGTGTTGGATGGTAACAGTCTAACTTTATCAATACAAAGCCACTTTGACTTGCAAACTAGAACTTTTATGACTAATTAAAGGACTTTCCATCATCATTTAAATGAAACAAAAACGGTCCTAAATCCTGAGGGAAAAGTAACAGGCACAGAGAGAGATAACTGACCTGGCCTCAATCAGCTTTGCTAAGGAGGGAGGTCCAACTATAGAACCCAGTCTAATCCTGATGTTCTCTTTGTTAAGGATGAAGGTCCCATTAAGTGACCCCTAAAATTCTATGAAAAATTTTCTTCTGGCACTGTAACTGCACCCCAAACTTCAGAGAGGTAGCAGCACTCATAGTAATACAGATTAAATGCTGAAACAATGAAAATCCAAGGTCTCTGTAAATTTTCATTAACATATTAAAAAAAAAAAGGGGGGGGGAATCCTGAAATGAATCGGAGTGTAAGCCTACAACGCCAGCTTTACTCGGAATGCCAAACCTTGGTCGTCGGAAGCGGTCATCCCGGTCCCCATCTCGATCCCGGTCTCTGTCCCGATCTCTCTCCCTCTCTCTCTCAGGTTCCTTGTCGTTCTCATCTCGGTCTGGGTTATCTCGATCCCGCTCTTTTTCGCGATCCCATTCAGAGTCTTCAGATGGTCTCGATTCTTGGCGTGGACCCCAACTGTTTTCTCTGGCTTTTTCTCGATCTCTCCATCCACCTATTATTTTACAACAAGAAGCACATTGTTCCCCTCTCCAGAGAAAGCTGGCAAGCCTTTTCTTAAGCTAAGTCAAAGTCAGTGATGCGGTCAGAACTCACTCACAGCTGAGCAGGGGGATTTCAGAGGCTGTAAACTGCATGGGAGGAGATTGTGCATCTTTCTCCTCCTTTCTTACACTAAAGCAAGACCTAAAAATCTTAAAAGACACAGCAAGAGATCACACTCTTGGCTTTTGGGGGTTGTCTATGTTCAAATGCTCAAGAACAAGTGTGAAAAGATGAGAAGCCTAGAGCTGAGTAAAACTGCTCTCCCACATGCAATCCCATCCCAAGGTTGGCAGCAGGGTAGACAGATCTACAGAGAGCACAGTTTGTATTTAGTTCTTTTTTCAAGACATGGAACCCACAAAACATGTGATGAACAGATCCAGGAAGAAGGCTCTACACAGGCACTGTCGGGAAGGCTGGCCCAAGAGAAACAAAGAGCATCCATCACACGAGCAGAACAAGGGCAACCTGAGACGTTTTGGTGTCTAAGACGACATGAAGAAAGAATATAAGCATTACTGGAAGACGTTAGTAACTACTCCCCATCTCCACCATACATAAGGCCCACGGTTTGAATCCACCAGCCGCTCTGTCGGAGTACATCCTCCCATGTGATTTACTGCCTCTGAAAACCCATTGGAGGGTCAGCTTTGGGTTGGCTCCAACTTGACGGCACACAACAACAAATTGTTATACTATTTATCCCTCAAAACATCCCTTTCAGGGGGTGGGGGGTGAACACACACACACAAAAAGTCCCTTTCTCCAAGTAAAGGCATCAAGCACATCTTGTGAAGCACCCAACCTGGTTCTCGGAATTCACCTGGCTTTCCAAATGGTCTCCAGGGACCAGGTCTGGAGTCGTCGCCTCGCCTGGGGATCCGATCATCATCAGCCCGTCTCGACAGCCGATCATCATCCATGTTTCTCCAAGGCCCCCTGTCATCGTCTGCACCACGCCTGGAAATCCTGTCATCGTCAGTGCTCCTCCAAGGTCCTCGGTCCTCATCCAACCCACGCCGGGGACCCCGGTCCTCATCCATGCCCCGCCTGGGCCCCCGATCATCATCCGCACTGCGCCAGGACGAGCGCTCATCATCGGCACCGCCTCGCCGCGGCCCCCGGTCCTCATCCAGCCCACGTCTTGGTCCTCTGTCCTCATCGGCTGTTCGCCAGGTTCCTCTGTCATCATCCAGTCCTCGCCTGGGTGGTCTGTCATCATCCAGTCCGCGTCTGGGTGGTCTGTCATCATCCAGTCCTCGCCTGGGTGGTCTATCATCATCCAGTCCTCGCCTGGGTGGTCTGTCATCATCCAGTCCTCGCCTGGGTGGTCTGTCATCATCCAGTCCTCGCCTGGGTGGTCTGTCATCATCCAGTCCTCGTCTGGGTGGTCTGTCATCATCAGCATGTCGCCAGCTTGGCCGGTCTTCATCAAGGATTCTCCTGGGAGGTCTGTCATCATCTGCATTACGCCAGGAAGGCCGGTCGTCGTCGGCCACGCGACGGGCAAAGCGGTCTTCGTCAGGACCCCGCCGGAGGACTCGGTCCTCGTCCAGGCCTCTCCGCGGCAGCCGCTCTTCCTCTGGCCTGGCTTCTCTGTCTTCGTCACCCAAGCGCCTTGGTCGGTCCTCATCTCTTCTGAGAGGCCTTTCTTCATCCCGCCCTTCACGTCTCCAGTCTCTGCAGAGAAATCACACATTTCTCAGAGTAAATCATCTTTCTTGGAATTGTGTTTTCTTGGTTTTGGGTTTGTTTGTTTTTAAATCACAAGGGTGGCTAAATGACTATCACAAGGACATATGTAGAAAAATTCTAGAACAAAATGCAGGAATTTCTCTTTCAAGACCTAGTTTTCGACAACAGGCTGTTAAAGACCACAAAGGCAAAATTAGGAAATTAGGCCTTATTTACAAGCGCGAACACGAGAACCACACAAGTGCCCCTTCAGAGAAGAAGGAGTAAAGGCAAAGTGCTATAACCATACAATGGAGCTATTATTCAGCTATTAAAAAATTAAGTTCTAATATCTGCTATAACATGTAAGAAGCACAAAAACATGCTGAATGTCAGGTCTAATACAACTAATTATCACATGGTTCCACGTTAATATCTCCAACATCATACTAACAGGCTCTGTGAAAAGCTGCAGTTCTGTCCTTAACTCCACTTACTTCTCTGGTGGGGCTCGTCTCCATTCCGAGTCTACCTCAGGTCCTTTTCTCCAGGTGCTCTCCGATTCTCCCCAGCGAGAATCCTACAAGGACCAACAAGATGCAACACATCAGCAACACTATTACACTGATAGGTAAGACCAAGGAAGCATTCTAATACTTAGGTGACGTGATCACGCCCTTAACTATAACCCAATTTTATAATTTCTTCTTTATAGACAGTAAATATAAAAATCTGGTACAATCTACACATAAAGGGGATGATACACAATTGTACACACATTCACCCACTGAATGCTTCCACAATGCTCTAACTCAGAAAGTTCCATGGCTAACAGCACAACCCAGGAGGAAATTAAGAAATTAAAAACAAATCCATTTTTGGACATGTGTTTATATAAAAATATTTAAATGAAACATGAAGAGCAGCTTTCAACTCAGCTGAAAATTAGAGTGCCGATCCAGATTTGGAGTTGAGCTGGAGTCTGCCCTTCTAACTAGCTGCTGTGTGATACTACTGATCCTCAAACCAACTCTCTAAGGGCCATGGGTTCAGAGAAGATACCACAGCATCTCCCAAATTCACCCCAATTCCTATGCCGGCACACAGGAATGCCACTCGCTCATCTCAGAAGTAGCTGTCCCATTCGATGAAACCTAAATCACCTTTCACAAAATGCAATCATTCTAACACGCACCTTTCTTGCAAGTGGGTCATCACCAAGCCTTCTCTCTTCCTCCCGACGACGTTCTCGCTCTTCAATTTCCAATTCTCTCTGGCGTTTTTTCCTTTCCACTTCTTCTAATTTCTTGACATGTTCCTGATATTCTCGCAGCTCTTCCTCACGTTTGGCCCTCTCAGCTCTCTCTCTCTCTTCTCGCTCTGAGTAAGAAGACATTTATTTATAACATGTGCCCAACATCAGCATCCTTTCCCCAGAGTTTGTCTACTCTGCTGGCATCCAACAGGTAGCATTGGGAGATTTTAAAAACAAACATTATCAGGGAGCTCTGGTGGCCTAATGGCAAGAATCTGTACTGCAATCCCAGAGGTGTGTGGTTTGAATCCACCAGATGCTTTCCTGGAGAAGGAGGGACAATCTCCTCCTGTACTAGTCAGATCTGATTTGACGGTATACACACAAAATAAATTTTTAAAAAAACCCCAACAAAAATTATCCCACTCAACACAGCATTAACTGATCAGGTAACAGAGACAGCCTTCCGTTTTGAAAGTGCATACCAAGCTGGCAGAGGATTGTAACATCTTCACATAAAACCAAGTAAGGATTAATTATGGTCCCAAGAACCAGGTAGTGGTAACCAAGGAGACCACTACCCTGACTGCGGTGCTTTGGACAGAAGCACGGATCTCGCAGGATCTACTGCCTCTCCCACTTCCAATCTCAGAGCACAGGTACCTTTGAGCATCTGCTCTTCAGCTCTCCTCTGCTCCTCCTCCTCTTTCTCCCTGTAGTAAGTTATTCTGCGTTCTTCTTTGCGCTGCCTTTTACGTTCTTCTAAACGATTATGCCTTTCTTCTGCTAGTCGCTCTTCAAACTGCTTAAGTTTCTCCTGCAATTGAATAAAAAAATGTTCTTTCCAAGAGCTAGAAATGGCAACCTTTAAATCAGTAACTCCAATTTCCTAGAATACTATAACGTAGCCTCAAACACAAAAATCGACATTTTCTAAATGACTGTTTTCCTAGCATGTAATTAGTATTAACAATCTTTATCTAATGGGTTCAAGTTTCATACAGAATAATCCAATGATTAAATGAGAATTTAAGGCCAAAAATTTATTTCTGAATCAAATGGCAGTATGTTTCAAAAGCAGCTTTTATGCAGTGTACTCTCCCTTTCAGTAAAAATAATTCATCAGATAGTTGACCAGCTCCTGTTAAGAAAGCTTTTATTAAAGTATTACTTCAAAAGAATGTTTCATAAATATTAACTCAAGTAGGGCGAACCACAAAAAGGGAACAGCCTTAAGGTAAAGTTCAACAAAATATTCTCCTGAAAATGTGTTCACCTCATAAACGGACTGCCGCGCAGCCTTTAGTCTCGTTACAAAGGAATCTCTGTCTTCAAGCATCCGAGACATTCGGTTCTTGTGTTCAAGAGCTTTTTCGCGTTCCAGCTGCATGGTGGTTATCTGCAAACACGTAACACAAAGTTCAATCTCAAAGCATCCATTATTCCAACAGCCCTAAAACAACTCTAAAGGGGAGCTCTGGTGGCCTAGTAGCAAGGAGCTGCAACTACAATCCCAGAGGTGACCGGTTCGAATCCACCAGATGCTCTGCTGGGGAAGGAGGGACAACCCTCCTGTACCAGTCAGATCTGATTTGACGGTACACGCACACAAAAATAGTAAAATTAAAAAAAAAACACCACAACTCTAAGACACACCCTTGAAGAGTTAGAAGCAGTAATTACTTAGCACTTTCTACCCTGCCATCAAATCAAAGGAACACCACTACCGGTGCCAACAGATCCTCAGGGGGAAACAGTCTCTCAGGGCTTCCACAAGAGACAGCCTCCAATAGCAGAAACTAACAAAGGAGAACTTTCAACACGTACAGCAAAATTAATACATGGTTAGCTGGTTAGTTTCTGAGGAGCAGATTTCCATCAAGGTAATCTCCGGGCTCGTGGAAGAGACTTCCCTGAAGGGTTCCCTGGCTGTGGTGTTAACGGAGTAGCTAACCAAGCTTTTTCTACTGTGGTATCACCAAGTGAGTTAGAACAAAGTTTTAGGTCAAACACAAATTAGAGACCCAATCCAATTTACATAAACACATGTTTTCATTAAATGCACTTCTCCCTTGAACTAGAGATCGTGGTATGAGGATTCTCCTTCTATGTCCCAACTGAAGAAGGAAGAAGACTTTTAGGCAGATATCTCACAGATCATCCCTAATGTTTCCTCTCATCTGCAGCGTTTTTCTTTCCCCAATTAGCTTTCAGTGTGTACATATTAAGACAGTCAACTCAAAATCCAACTTCTTTAAGAAGTGGAAGAGGCTGAAACAACCCTTCCTCCAGATTTCTCAGGTGGAACCCAGAAGTAACAAGTGTTCTCCAAACTCCAACTTCGGCACCCACAGATGTGCGCTGTCTTCAAGTGTGGGGACTCCCCCATAATCACCTAAAAACCACCCACTTATCTCTGATTCACAGTTGGCCTTCAAAGGCATCTACAAATCCTTCTGTTGTTGTTAAGTACCATCGGGTCACAGGCGACTCATAGTGACCCTATGAAGGAGAGTCCTTGACGCTTGGGTGTCTCTCATCCTCTCTCCTGGCTGTTATACTAGTCTAGGTAAATGCAATACAGAGTAACAAAACTACAAAATTAACTGTGTAATCCTGCATCCTATACAATTCCAGTAAAGGGTGGAGAATTGGCCAATAAGGACAGGAAACAGATTAGCTATTGCCCAGTACTAACAGATACTAGACTTATTCTTAGCCAACAAGCCAAGGGAGCTCTGATGACTTAGTGGAAAGAAGTTGCTCGGTTCAAATCCACAAGCAGCTCAGAGGGGACAAAGGTGGGTAATGTCTTTTGATGCTGTTTATTGTCTGTTGATTGCCTTCAGGTCGAGCACAACTCATAGTGACCCTACACAAGCACTGACATTTATCCAAGTTCATAGAGTTTACTGTCTCTGAAAACCTACTGGTGCGTGAGCTATGGGTCAGTTCTGACTTGATGGTACTTAACAGTGTATCAGGACAAACAAATCTGTCTTGGAAGATGTAGAACCAGCATGTTCTCTAGACAGTAGTGAGACTTTGTCTCACATACTGTTCTTAGGAGGGGACAGTCCCTAGAGAAAGACATCATCTGTCTTTCTACAGGAGAAAGTGAGCACAGAAGACAAAGATCCCAACAAGATGGACTGACACAACAGCTGCGAGAAGTGCTCCAATATCCGTTTCAGTTAAGACACATCCAGGGCCAGGAAGCACTTCACTTGGCTGTACTGAGTTATGGGGCAGAATTAACCCAGCACACCTAACCTAGTGGGAAGACCATTAATGGATATGGAGGAGGGTTTGGGAATGATGAAATGGTCTAAAATTAAGAGTGAAGTGATAGGTGCATAGCCCTGTAAAACCTTGAGTAAGGGTCCACTTGAAATAGGTGAGTTGTATGGTATGTGAATAACATCTCAACAATACTTTTAAAATGAGCTGTTCAAGTGTCATTTGTACCTCAATTTTCATATTCAACCTTTAGATAAAAATGTGTACTTTCCACTAGTCATGAAGTCAGTTACAAAGGCATAATTTTTAACAAAAAAATGCAAAAATAATTTTGACATCCCAGTTCCAATATTGGCAGAAACGTTATCACTAAGACAAAAGTCAATTACTGTATTCTAGGAATAGTAAGCTTAACTTACTCTTTCTTCTTCTTGCTGTTCCCACAGATCCATATCTTTAATTCTCTGTTCTTCATAAGCATTCTTTATCAAAGGAATTTCTTCCAAACGTTTAGCTCTTTCAAAGTAATCAATCTGAATGGTATGAAAACAAATGTTAACTTTAGAGTTAGTAATATTTTTAAAAGGAAAGCAAAGACCGTTTTATTAGAAAAGATACATCCAATATCGCAAAAGATGTCATTTCTCCAAAGTAGAGAAGTGGAAAAGACCAAATTTACTAGTTGTGAGAAAATAAAAGACAAATTACAAACTGGAAAAAAAGACTATTTGTGATAAAGGACTTTTTGTCCAAAGTACACAAAAAAGTCTTCATTCTCAATAATAAGAAAAATCCAACAGAAAATGAGCAAAAGTAAAAAAAAAAACAAAACAAAAAAAACCAACCCACAACCCCACCTTATCAATGGTACTTAAGATGGTATATAAACACACATAAATATGTGTGTGTTTGAGAGAGACAGAAAGAGATGGCAAATAAAAACCAAGACATCACACAACGTTTAGGGTTAAAATTTAAAACACCGCAAATGTCTGATGATGGCAGAGATGGGGAGGGGAGAGAAATGCTCACATTCACTGTGGACAGAAATGCAAACCAATATAACCCTTCTGGAAGAAAGACTGGAAATTTCTGACAAAGTTAAACATACAGGTTTATTATTTATAATCCAGCAATCATACTATTACCCAAAGAAACTGAAAACTATTTCCAAGCATAAGCTTGCTCAAAAATGTCTATAGGGGCTAAGTTCATCACCGCAGAAAAATTACTAGTTAACAAGATGACCATCAAAAGGTGAACAGACTGTGATATATCTATAGAATGGATTCTTCAGAAATATAAAAAAATGGACCCTTAAGGTAATCACTGCAAAGTAAAAAAAAAAGCCACTTAGAGTAAGTTGTAGACTCGGGGATTGCAAATCTACAACATTCTGGGGGAAAGAACACTACAGAGACCATGTAGAGATTAGCAGTTGCCAAGCATTCAGAGGCAGGAAAGAGGACGACCAGGTCTTGAAGCACAGGGCATTTTATTATGCCTGATACTGTAATAAAGACTCTGAAGAGGACAAGAAAATAAATACACACACAAAAAAAATGAAAACCCTTCTATAAACCAGGGACTTCTAGTGTCTCAATACCAATTCATCAACTGCAAAAAAAAAAAAACCACATCACTTTAAAGCAAGAGGTACTAACTGTGCAGAGAGAATGCAGAGCCAAGATGAGGTGGAAACTTACTACTTACTTTCTACATCACTCTACTGTAAACCTAAAAGGGCTATGAAAAACTATACTCTTTTTTTCTCCCCTTAAAATTTACCAGCCCATTCAATTACCTTTTTCTCTTGATTCTTCAAGCGTTCTTGAAGTTCTTTCTTTTCTTTTTCCAGTTGTTCAACCTGTTTGGCCATAATGAAATCTGGATCTAATTCCTCAAGGTCCTGAAAGAGTAAGAACCGTAACTGGTAAGACTATACAAGAAACACCTATAAGTAAACACAGTAGCTTCCTAGAAGCAAACCTAAGTATTGAGACAATCTGGGGCAAACAAAATTTTAACATTTCTTTCTCACTGTCCTAGTCTGTAAAACAAACATGGTATTTACCCAAATTCAAATGTCCTAATACACAGGGATTAAAAATGGCATAGAGCCATTACAAAGATTTACTCAGAATTCCTGAACCAGCTTTACAAATGCAAAAACAATCCACAGTAAATCAGTAAACAGTATGATACGGAGAACTCTTAAGATTATTCAAGACCTGGCTAAAACAAATGACTTAACATTCTACGTACTTCAATGTCAATATCCTTGAATGCTTTGGCACCCAGTTCGGTCTTCTTGATCTGCTCCAAGCGTTCTCGCACTGTTTTCTTTTTGATTTGCTCATGCTCCTGTAAAATGCGCTCTTTCTCTCTCTCTTTTGCCTCCTGTCGCAGGCGCTCCTCCTCAGCCTTCCGCACTTTCTGGAGCTCAGCTTCCCTCTGCTCCAGCTCTTCTTTCTCACGCTGAATATTAAGACTCTCAAGCCGCTCTTTGCGCTCCTCGATGGTCTGTCGGCGAGCCAGGATGCGCTGATGCTCCTTCCGGGAGTTCTTCAGGTATGCAGTAACAGCTAACTGATGCTGTTCTGCTTTCTCTTGCTTCAAAAACAAAGGCACATTTAAGAAAAAGAAAAAAAAAATCCAATGAAAACAACAGAGCATAAACATTAAGGATGACAAAATTAACAAATGCATCCCGATACAAAAAAAATACGCGTTTAATACGAGATGATCCTGACCAGGTTTTAAGTTCCTAGTGGCAAACACTGTAGCCCTACTCATACTCAATCATTTAACAGAAATGAAGCGTACCAATCTTTATTTGCTAATTCAACTTTTTTTCTCTACCTCAAATTTACTTTATAGTATTCACAGCCCAACACTAAAAGCACAACCCAAAAGTGAAAAAGCCACGTTACCAGAAAGGAGAAGCCCAGTCTTATGACTCATTTCATGGAAGGCTACTCAATAATCTACATAACCTAAAAGAGCCATTTCGTTCAAGAACAGAACTACCAAGCACAGATGAGCAAGGCATGTCTAAAACCGTTCTTTCAAACATTACTTCAAACCTTTCTATGAAAGACAAGACTGAAAAGTCCCCCAAGGTCTCTGCAGTTCACCTACTCTACAGACAGGGATGCATACCAGTATGTGGGCTGGCTTGATGACTTCCAGCGCTTTGGCAAGGACTGAGGACATGGCTGTCAGCTGGTTTCTTATCTGCTCTGAAGGCATGCTCTGCAGATGAGGACCCAGGGGAGCATCTTCTCGAGTAGCATAATTCAAATCCGACCCAAAACTAAGGGTCCGAGAAGTGTGGTCAATGCGAACCTTTGAGAGTTAAATAAAAAGTCACAAGTAAGTGAATCTATGTGTAATATAGTTACTTCAGAATGCAACTTTCAGTTGAGAAAGAGAGTTAAGAGTTAGCCAATCTTCTAGAAGATCCACTCAGGACAAGTTTAGAGGAGTATTACAGTACCAAAGGCTAAGACGCAGGCTCTGTGCCTCCTTCCACCTCAAATTCTTGCACGTACCTGAAGGTCACAGTGCCTGGCCGCATCTACTATCGCCCGTTCCAGTTGGAAAGCATCAACAAAAGGAACCAGAGAAGTCAAACGAGAAAACTCAATGCTCTGATAAATTTGTGCCACCTGCATAAAAAACACAAGGTTAATAATAATCAAAGCTGCCATTTACTAAGCACTTTCTAGGCGGAGTTTCATAACAACCCTGACAGGTAAAAATTATACTCATTTTTTTTCAGGAAAGAAAATGAAGCTCAGAAATTTTGCCAGCCTATTTTTGGAATTGGAACTCTAATTCAAGGCAACCAGCATCAAACCCCAGCTTTGAAGTGTACCATTATTCTACTTCTCAAGAGAATCATCTTTTCTCAACCCATATGAATAAAATTAAACATCCTATTTATAAAGACCTGCTGCTAATTTATCTGAGCATCCATTAAACTGCATTTGTTTGAAGGAGACTGGCAGCATTACTACTTAGTCATACTGCTAATTAACCTTCAACTATTTATATAGCACATAAGAAATAACACTGCTCACATATGTGAAAGAAAGCAGGTCAATGAAATGTGCAGAAAACCAAACCCAACCCTCACGGCCACCATGAGTCGATTCCACCTCCTATCAACTCTCGAGGACCAAGCAGAGCTGCCCATGGGCCTCCCCAGTTCTCATCCTCATGAAAGCAGACTGTTCCATCATTCTCCCACAGAACCTGACAGATCGGAACCACTGCCCTTCCAGTCAGCAGCCAGAGAGCTTTAACCACTGGGCCACTAAAACTCCCACACATGACGCAAAGAGCAGCCAAGACGCATACTTTGGAACCTAATATAAATTCAACATTTATACCAGCTTAAAAAACTGGCATAAAAATGCTCCACTGGAGGAGGGGCAATCTCCTTCTGTGCTGGTCAAATCTGACTCGACAGTACACAACAAAGGGGCGGGGGGAGGGGGGGAGAAACTGGCATAAAACATGGCAAAACAATTAGTAGTTCTTGGGATTAGTGAAGATTTTCCTCTACCATTTGTGAGAGTCTATTAACTAATCTTCAACAGATTAAATATGTAAATGCTATTAAAATTTCTCATTCTCTAAAGTCACAGATAGATGCAATGGAACATGCACAGAAGATGCTTTCTGCTAATTCTCTAATAGTAAAAAACCTAAAAATACAGACTTCCTGAACAGGATCTGAAGAAATAAATGATACATTTGGACAATGAAAGGCCACTAGGTTACTTAAAGGAACCAATAGCTCAACTAAGAAAGTGAATAATGGTTATAAGTTAGTTACTGCTGCTCAGGACTCATAGATAAATAAGAACTAGTTTTAGTGTGATGTGGAATTAGGGCTGGTTTTAGTTTCTGTGATCAAACAACATTTTACACATTGGGGGGATTTCGGTTCCCACATAAAACATTTCCCTTACGTTCTTACCTGCTGCAGAAGACGGAGTATGGTATTGTTTTGCAGCTGGGGGACATACTGTTGTAGCTCCGGTTCCTTTTCAGGTTGTTCCCTAACCCAATTTAGAACCTATAAATGCCATTAAATAGTTTAAAAAGAAGGAAAAAATATATTTTCTGTAAGAGACTGGACATTCGTCAATCTTTTCCATTTTTATATACACTAAACATCAGATAACGTAAAGCACTATAAATGTTAAGATGAAGCTGACGGCCCCTGTCCGAAGGTGACTGACAGCAATGGCTACGTTAGCCACACTGCTAATTTACCTCCAGAATTTTATCTAGCACATGAGAAATATCCTTTTTCTTGGCATAAAGGAAGATTTTACTTTTATACGATATCAAGAGTATTGTTTGATAATTTCTATATTCTTCTGGATCACATTTCCTTTGAATAAAAGTAAATATGGATCTCTTCAAGCTGGTTTTCTGAGCAAAAAATAGTAACTCCAGTGCTGTACTTTATTGGTGATAAATTTCAACTGATATTTTG